TTCCCCTGGAGCCTACGTGAGCTTACACTTCCAGCATTGAGTTTTCTTGTTGCTGCTGGCACTTGGGATTTTTCCTGTCTTTTGATGGAGGCTATGTGTTAAAAAATTATCTTTTGTTATACATGTATATGTTTATAGCTGGAGGAAGAGGTCAGTTCAGTCCACCATGTTGCTGGAAGTACTTTTACTTATTCCTCACAACAACCTTGTGAAGGAGGTACTCTTACACCCGGTTTACAGATGAGGCACCTGGGGCTCGTGGAGCTTAAGTGACTTGCGCAAAGCCACATGACTGTTATGGGGCAGAGAACAGACCCAGATCGAGGTCTGCTTGAATTGCAAGTCTGTGCTCTGCCCACAATGCTGTTTTGCCACCTAATAACCTTCATTCTTCCTGCTTCATTTTCAGGAATTAGTTGCCATCAAGGGCTCTCTCCTCCCTGTTTCCTTACATGGTTCTGCTTATCCGGAGAGTAGCTCTTGGCCAAGACCTGGCAGTGGAGAGCCATGGACCAGTACAGCCTTGGAGACGAGGGTGCCCTCCCATCAGAAATGCACCTCCCTTCATTTTCAGAGAGCCAAGGGCTCAACTGCAGTGACACCCTCAACCGGGATCTGGGTCCCAACACGCGAGACCTGCTCTATGCTGGCCTGAGTGGTTTGGACCCGGACCCCAACCTCCCAACGCCTGACATGTCCAGCGAGGTGCTGGAGGACAACTTAGACACCCTGTCCCTGTACTCGGGGAAGGACAGTGATTCTGTGAAGCTGCTGGAGGAGTATGCAGATTCGGAGTCTCAGGCATCCTTACAAGGTGAGGCTGTCACCTGGGTAGAAAGGCCCTGCAGGATGTTCGACAGTTTCTGTGGCCAGCTAGGGACTGATTCTGCATGGATTGGTTAAGAAAATTTTTCCCTCCTACAGATGACTTAGGGAACAGTCACCTTTTTTCCTACTTGGGAATTGTTTCCCAATTCTTTTTTTTGTTTTGTTTTTTGTTTTTTGTTTTAGGCAGAGTATAGTGGTACGATCTCGGCTCACTGCAACCTCTGGCTCCCGGGTTCAAGTGATTCTCCTGCCTCAGCCTCCCAAGTAGCTGGGATTAC